AATCTCTCATTTGCGAGATCTACATCACATGTTCAAAACCAACAAAAAAACTAAAACTCTTCACATACTGTGAAGCGCGTCCGAAAATCACTCGAGCCCTCGGAGCTCCATACCAAACATCAACACAAGTCTAAAAACATAATATAAACTCGCTCGCACGATCAAATCATCAAAATAACATCTGAAACCATGAATCAGACCTCCAAAATACATGAAATTCATATGAAACTCATGAATTTCTAAAAACACAATCGTGCGTCCGATTCCTATCAAATCCACTCGGAATGACTCTAAACTTTGAAGACAAGTTCAAAATAACAAAATAGACATATTTCAAGTCCCAAAATTAAAATCTGAACCCGATAGCCATAAAGTCAACCTACAGTCAAGCTTATCAAAATTCTAAACCTTTAAATTGCCAACTTTCGATAAAACAAAGTCAAATCAACCTAGGGACCTCCGAATTCGATTCTGGCATACGCCCAAGTCCAAAATTACGATACAAACCTACCGGAGTCATCAAAAAACTATTCTGGGGTCGTTTTCACAAAAGTCAAACCTCGATCAATATTTTCAACTTAAGCTTCTAAAATGAGAATCGCTCATCAAAATAGATCCTAAAACATCCGAAGATCGAGTCCGACCAAGCACGCAAGTCTTATTATACAATAGGAAGCCACTCAAAATCACGAATCACTTAACGGAACGCTAAAGCTCAAAATGACCGGCCGGGTTGTTAAACCTTTTAAGGGACTTTTAACAATATGTAGCTATATTGCCTCTAATTTTTTTACAATACGCTATATTTGAGTGTATTTGAATACACTATTCAGCTTTATATTTTTTTCGCGTGTATTTGAGTGTATTTGAATATACTGTTCGGTTGTATCCAACCTTATTTAATGTCGCAAGGTTGAACGTATTCGACTGTATTGAAATATATTTACACTAAAAATGACGAAATGAAGAATACAGTCAAATCTTCATACAAAAATACACTATATTTAAGTAGGAAGAATACAATAATAGCTTGTTGGATCTCCGATGAAATACATAATACCACTGTATTTACACTAAAACAATGAAAAATACATTCAAATCCTTTCAAAAATACATTGTATTTATACTAAAAAATGAAGAATACAGTCAAATCCGGTCAAATATTCGATGAGAATACAAAATATATTGTATTTAAAAATAAAGAATACAATCAAATACCGTCGGATCTCCTGCCAAAATACAAAATACACTTTAGATCTCTGCCGAACTACAAAAATACACTGTATTTATACAACACTTTTTCGGCGTGAAAGGTAGTGGAGGAGAAAGAGGCGGCTTCTTTTTCCAATGAGAAAAGCAATGGTGGAAGAATAAGTTTTCGGTCAGACGAATACACTAAGATGTGAGATACAAAGAAGGAGAAGAAGCCATGGATTCTGGCATCTCCGTTAGATCCAGATTTGGTGACCCCTCTGATCTTCCTCCTTCATTGTTTTCACCACTGGTGATTAACCTATCGCGACTTTGTGATTTTCAAATCTGGATCAGACAGTGGAGAAGAGAGAAGGGGAGAGAGAGAGAGAGAGAGAGCTAGATTTGATGGTGGAGATGAGTGAGAGAGAGAGAGAGAGAGAGAGTGAG